TTCTTCGTTGTAATTTTGATTTCAGAAACCCGACAAATGAAGTTAATGAAAGTTAAAATGCTTGGATTTATATAACCCCCTTCCTTAATAAGTATTAAAAGTTTATTCAGCTAGCTTGGTATTTCTGTCTTCGATATACTAGTTAAGAAAAAGGTAAGACAATGGTAAAGCTTTTAAATTTTATTTTTGGAAGACGGTACTTTCATTTTGATTTATGGTAATGTAATTAAATTAAATTTTATAGCAGAAAATATAAAAATGAATTCCACTATGATATGTGCTATGACTTATTATTATTAAAAAATAAAAATGAAACAACAAGCGTAACATGCATGGCGAATGGCTGGCTGCATTCTGACTTTTTAGTTCAATCTCATATTTGACATTTTAAAGTTAGACACAGAAATTGCATTCAGCATTAATGAATAGTTAATTAAAAAAAATTCTAAAACTGAACTTTGGAAGATTGATTCGAACTAATTTATCTCAAAAGTAAATTATATATGAAATGTAAGTATACAAAAAATATGTCGTTTAATTAATTATGCAAAGCATTCCAATAAAATGAGAAACCCACTCAAAAGACTGTAGTAAAGTTAAAAATATGTTTCTAAGGGATAAGATCGACTTATTTTATTGCACATTTTGCAACAACACTATTTCAAAAATTGCATTTCAGTTTATTAAAATTTTCATCATTTCAAAAAATGCGAAGCTCTCGAATTAGCTGGTTGTATAGGAGTTTTCTCTTTTCTCCATGTGTAACATGAATGGAAGCCAGATCCCCTTAAAAGGTCTCCCACTAAGGCATCTTCATTTTGGCAAGTAGTGCTTTGCCATAAGCTGTTAAACATACAAACTGAAAATGCAAAGCACTGATAAATTTTGATCATAATATGTTGTGGTGTGGTTGGAAATTTTATAATTCATAAAAACTTGTTCCAGCAAACTGGAAAGCCGCATGCGGCTCGCTACGTAATAAGCAGTAGATTTATTTATGAAGAAAATTATAATTTAACGAAGACATCTTCTCACTAAGACGCTTGTGTATATGTATTAGTAACTTAATTTTTTGATAACGTTATTATGTGTATAATAATTTCAAAATGCATACAGCGCATTAAATTGTCGAAGTAATAAACAAAAGACAGAAAATTTTGTTTCAGGACTTTAGAGAAATTGTTTTTAAAATAGACATTAACTATCGAAGCAGCATAAAAGACATGTACGTTGGGAATATGCTCTACCAATATATCTTATTGAATGACATAATAGATGTATATAGTTACAGACTGCAGTGAGCAAAGCAAACTGTATCTGATAATTGAATTTGCTTTACGTTATGAATTATTCAAATGATTTAGAGTTAGGCGTTGCTAATTCTCTGTACTTTGGCCACCATGTAGTTCTGTGTGAAAATTAAAAAGATAGATTTTTATGCAAACCCGCGCTCTAAACTGATAGAATTTTAAACACATTTTCAGTAAGTAATTTGAAATCTCTCTTCACCGTACGCTGTCTATGTCCTCCTCTTTTTTTTTTTTTTTTTTTGTTCTTTCTCTGGAATTGTGTATGGATTGAGAGTAGAAAAAAATTTTGCTGCTCTAAGTTTCAGAACACAACAAAATTCTTACCTTGAGTTAAAATGTATTTTTGTTATTAGAAAGATTATAACATCCATTTCTGAATTCTGTTTACTTTTTTTTTAATTAGTTGTCAATTATGCAGTTATAAACAGATAGAAACACGAATTCGTAAAAAAAGATTTTATAACCGAATAAAATATTTTCAGTGCAGAGGAGAAAAATTTAAAAACTGTATAGAAACGTAGAAACGTACTCCTCTCAATACAGAATAACAGCAATAACAAGAATTTATTTTTGTTTATAAACAGCAGCATTAATTGAAAACTATGAATCTTTGTCAGTTTATTTGGAATATTTCATTTTTAATCACAAACTTTTATTTCGCTTTTAAAATTTATTTAGTTGCGGAAAGGTACAATTACATTTCATGGTAAACGATACAGTTCATTGCTAACGAGAAATGACTGAAGGCCAAAGAAACACATACAGACATCGATATTAAATTTTTTTTAATGCGAATTACGATGCATATGCATTTTTAAAAATTGTTCATAAGAAAGACATTTGAATAGCAGACATTCTTACTTTTCTTTATATTGCGTTTTATTTGTTATATAATGTAAAAAATAAAACACAATTAATTAAAGGTATGGTTGCTTGAATTGCGTTAATTTGTTATATAATGTTACATAATAATAATAATAGATTTACTTATTTGTTATATAATTTATTTATTATACAATTGCGTTTTATTTGTTGAAAAAATAGAAGAAAAAAGATTTCTTTTGAGGGGCGAGAACTTATTAGCGTTTTTGTATGTATTTAATTTTTCAGTTAGTCCGATTTCAAAGAGTGTGGGGTAATGGCGGAACCGGTTAGCTAGCCTGTGTAAGGTCTGGTTGTGTCTCAGTTTTAAGTGAATCTGTGTGAAAGATTTTTGTTTTCAATTTAAGTTTAAATTACAGTTTATCGTTAATCAATCTCAAATCCATGTGTTTTTATTTTAAAATTGTTGGGTAATTTCGTGCTTGAAAGTAAATAGCATAACTATTCGTATCTTTTATTTTAATTTTAAATTACAGTTAACTTTAAACTTCCTCAAATTCATATGAATTGTATTTCACCGTTGTTCGATTGTTTCATCAACGAAAGAAGTGCATTTCATTAATAGCCAAATATAGCAAGCTATCGCCAAATGTGCAACCAAATTAAGGAAATCGAGCATTAGGGGATCTTAAGAGGGAATTTCCTTGAGCTCTTTACAGCCCCGTTCACATGCAACGCTCCTTCGCACAGCTGCCGTTAGCAAGAGGAGAAAAAGGAGACATGAAAGAGTTTTGTCTTTAGGACCCGTTCAGAAGACCACCGTCTTCCTACCCTTTACACCTAAGCCTCCGTGAACAATCACGTCTCCGAATTGGCAGATTTCTCATACTGTTTACATATTTTTAACGTTGTTTACTGTTGTTACTTTTGTAATCTGTACTTTCGCAACTGGTACCTGAACTTTAGATTTTTTTCAAATTTAAAGTTGAAACGATTTTTTGCAAATATTAACAAATAAACTGAGAATCTCAGAATATTATACTTTGCACCATAACACACTGTGGAGGGAAAAAAATTAAATGAAATTTTTAGCGTAATTTTTTTTAAAAATATTTTGGGAGAATTTTTGAAAATCGTTCATATTTTTAGACTTTTTGACGCCCATTAATTTAAAAATTTTATATCTAAAAATATATCGGTTACAAACTTTCCGATAATTTTCACAGCTTATAAAACAAACTTTTCGCATTTAAAAAAATGATAAAGGAAATTAATTGGAGGAATTTTTTTACTTTTTTGAAAGATATGCAATGAAGCAGAATGGAAAATATTGGTTCTTCTTGGGTATCAATTCGAAACATCGGTTTCAAAGTAATTAATTCTCATTATACCACATATTTTTATGGCATTATTTATGCTATATTAAGTTGTTATTGTTGCCAGTTGTTAGTTCAGCGTGAGATTGGAGATATTTCTGAGTTAACTTTTCTCTTAAGATGCGTTTCGCATTCCGTTGTGTTTAACGTTCTTTGGTAGATTGAAGCATAACTACTGATTATACTTTAGTGATATTCTACAACACTTGTGCGAAGTATTTTTGTGGTAAAAAATTTCCAGAGTTTTGAAGTGTTTCTGTTTATAAAATAAATTTAATTAAGCTATCATCGGATTTGAGTCCAATGACAATCATTTACGAACTATTATCAATCTATTAATCAAACTTGTAAACACGCAACAATTTATAATTAATTTAATGCTTATTTAAAATTGTTTTGAACGTGTTTTACAAAACAAAAGCAGTAAAGGAAAATTCTGCTTGCGTTTTATGAGTTTGCAATTTTTCTGGCCACATAAGGTTTTAAAAAAAGGTTTGTAATTTATGTTTATATTTACCAATTGAATAAATAGCCCTAGGTTTGATTTATATATATATATGTTTATTGAAATTCAGTAATAAAATTTTAAAGATTTGAAATGATTAATTGTCTGTTTAGACAGTTTGTATTCTTTAAACTGCAAATGCAAATTGAGAAACCTTTTGCATTTTTTTCAATAAATCCTTTTACTTAAACTCCTAAAACATATACAGGTATGGACTAAATTTTTTATTATTTTTACTGCTTATTTAAAATCATAAACTTTATAGAAACAAGGATGGGTTTTGCAAAATACTGAAATGAAAAATTATTTGAAATGAAAATGTTACTGAGATCATATTTGTTTTAAAGATTTTAGATAAAATTGTATTTTTATTTTTTTCTCAGAAACTAATTCATTAATTGCAAAATCATTCCTTGACGTTATTAAGAACACTCTAATAAATACAATAAAAAAACTTGGGGGGGGGAGGGGGGAGACATTGAAAATTGTAGGAGAAGAAAGACATTTTAATTGTAAAATTTTTCTTCAAAAATTTAAATTAAAAACATTACTAGCAAAAACTTTTTTTCATCTCAAATTTTTTTTGTCTCGCAAAACCATTTAATAATATTCATAAAAAGTAGATGAAAATGCTTAAATTTTTTAAAAAAAATCATTCAGAAGGTACCCAGTCCCTTGTCGCGTTGAAGCCGATAAGCATTTGTCTTAACTTTAGTTTTAATTTGAACGATATCTCTGGAACACCTAGCATCAGATAACCTTGTCTGTATTTGTCTATAATTTCCGTATCTTGTACAGCTCTATCTAATTTTTGGGAGGATGCTATCACATCCCCAGACATCTATCAGCGCGATTGTTTCGCTGACAGTCCAGCGAGCAGTAACTAAAATTAAGTGAACCGCGCAGTATAGTACGGGAAATCTCCCCATTTGCCCTGCTCCCGAGAGGTAAGGAACATTCAACCAAGTTCTAACTCCAATTCGGCGAGGCAATTAATGCTTGTCCCATGTGAACGGGACACCTTGGAAGAACCGGTTTTCGCTACCGGTCGAATCTGCTCTTGTGAACGGGGCTTAAGTGAGGGAGGGGAAGAATTTTCGGCTAAAAATCTAACTATTTTCCTTTTCGGCTCAACTTCCACGACTAAAAGTGGACATCATCGTCAATACCGACCCCGTTGTGATCATCACATGTTTGGTAAATATGTAAATCTCTGAAGAAATGTTCCAGCTGTTCTGCTTTTTGCAACCTCCTATTAGTTTATGCTTCCAAACTTTTAAATTTGTACTTCCTTAGAGTACTGTGAGAGCCATGTTCATATTTAATTACTGAAGCATCATTTGCTTTAGAATTTCTTCACCGCTGTAAAATTCATTATAAATTGAAACTTTGCTTTTGAAACATCTTTAGTCAATAAGTAAAATTAAAATTTTGTGTACGAAATGTCCATTTTAGTCCGGTTATTACACTTTTATACTTAAATAAAGTATGCTTGTTTTTTTTTTTTTTTTTTTTTTTCTAGGATCAAAATGCGGCGATATATCTGGAAAATGGGTCAATGAACTTGGTTCGCTTATGACAATTGAACATCGACCTTTGAATAGAATAACTGGAGAATATAATACAGCTGTGGAAACTTTTAAAGGAGCTGCTGCATTAGTTTCTAATCTAACAGGTAAACAAAAGTGCAGAATAAAACCAAATTCTGAGACAACATAAATTCTTTTCCCTGAATATCCTTCACTGAAAGTTAGCTAAAATAATAAGGTTGAATCAGGCGTCCATTAGAAATGTTTCCTTTATAAGTTTTAATTCAATCTGAATTTTAGCATTCAAATTACGAATCAATGGCAGCATGCTCAGAGAAAATATATTAAGGCGATGGGAAAATAAAATATTACAATATAAGAATCCTAAAATGATTCCCTAAAGAAAGATACTTACTTATCAGTATAGTTGGGGTTGCATACATACAAGTCTAATTTCTTCAAATAAATCCAACAGTACAACAGGCGCATTTGACTAATTGCTATGATGAATGTCGTGGGCTTGTGTTAACTTTCGATAGTTGAGATGAATGACAACAACAAATTCAACAGTTTAAGTAGTTATGCATTTTATTTCTTTAAATATTTATTCTAGACATATGCTTTCAGCGATAAGTTTCTAAAAAATTAAAAGTAACATTTTACAAAATCAGAGTCATTTCTAAGTGCTTTGGAAAAAAAAATATTTTTAGACTTCCATAGAGTAAGAATTTCTGTTCATAAAATATTCATTGCATTTTAATTAGTTGAAAATTAAAAAGTGTCTCACCATTATGTGAAAAATTTGTGGAATTTTTTCGAGAAAGAATTTACCAACTTAAGTAATTTTTCCATGCATATTACTGACTTTAATTCGAGACTTTTAAGAGAAGAAATTTGGAATTTAGGAAGCATCTATAAAACAAAACTTGCTCAATATTCAAATTTAATAATTTGCTTTAAATTTGATAATTTTTATTTTATGGAGGTAAGGTTTTTCAGCGTACTGTACACTCACAGCGTACTGTACACTCAAATTAGGTACAAAATTTTAATATATATATTAAAATTTTGTACCTTATTTTAAGAAATTTCTTAAAAAGAAGTCTATATGCGAAGTAAATATTCAAAGAGATAAAACCCATGGTCAACGTTTTCAAACACTATGTATATATCTAATAAATGCTATATATAATATTACATCAATGGATTTTCAGAGTCTATTTCTTCCCGGTAGCAACAAATATGACATCAGACTTAAGCAAAAGCTACATTTCTATTTGTAATTCATAAACCATAGGAATCCGTGCATGAATAGTTTTTTTATAAGCATAGTATTCTACATGACGAAATTAAAAATAAATGTCTGAGCAGCAGCAATAGTACTTGATTGCTGAACTTAAATAAAGCGTATTAGTCAGAAAAGGGTGAAGGGAGAAATAATTCGAAGATTTAAGTTCAGAGCAATTACTATCAGAAACCAGCAACACAAACAGACAGCTGTATAGACAGGAGTGTCGTCCACCTTTGTTTACAAATGAAATGACTTCATCTCGCTTGAATTCGATATGCAATGCCTAGTTACAGAATATAAATTAACATAATGTTCATTTCAATAATAGATTTAAAAATTTGTTTTATTTGTGGCGTACTTTCATTAAATAGCAAACTAATTAGACTAATAACGAATTTTGAAGTAGAATATATTACGTTTTTTTTCGTATTGCAATAGCAATACCTATTAATATAACAATTTACATATTAATATAACAATCTATAAAAGTGCTGAAATAGTAGCCCTGAAGAAACAGCTATTCTTGGGTTGCGTTGTATATGTCGCATTGTTTATTGTCTGGTCTCATGTTCTAGATTATAACTGAACTATTTTGATGTAACATATTTATTAAATGTCAGTGATAAACATGTGTAATAAACATTGTATATCAACAAGAATATCAATGATGGAATAAAATACGATGCCAGTTTCAGCTAGCCCTTGAGTTCTGCAAATTATGATTAATAATTTAATCATATCATTGCACAGAATGCTTGCTAGCGGGAAATTTTTAATAGATCTCGCCTGCTGAGAGCTTTAGAGGATTTTATAGTCTCGCTATATTTCGGACTTAATGCTGAATAAATTGTTCATATCGTTTAACTTTTTGCGTCACTGTAGGTCTTCTGATTCGCCATAGTTGAAGACGAATTACAGGAACCGAGGAATCATTAATCGAGACCCTTCTGAAATTATGCTCCTCCAGTAGCAGATAACTTTTAAGTTATTGTCGTGATTCCACATTGTTTGTGAAGATTTTCGTACTGCTAGGTAGGGCAATTATAGTTATAACTTACATTATAAGGTATTTCTCCCAGCTTCTTGGCTTGCCATCGTGGTGGGGTGATCTACACACTGGACCGGTATTCCAGAGGTCTGCGGTTCGATTCCCGGGGAAGGCGTTGTTAATTTTTCATCTTTTCTGCTTTTAAAAAATACCTAATGACTCTACAGTGACGCCCGAACTAAAAGGGTGTTGGATAATGATTCTCCTCACTAAGGATTTGGCGATTGGGTCCCCCCTTTTTTTTTGTATAAAGTTTATATAATCTACTTGGTGTGTTGTAAATAAACGAAAAAGATTAATCTGCGTGTCATTAACTGTGTACAAGACACGGCACAGGCTACAGCTGGATGTTACAATGTAGCTACTCATTCAACAGTAATAGAAATCCTTTCAATTAACATTTATTTAATTTTCGCTATTAATTGCAATAACGTTTGAGTTTGTATAAATGATTCATTCTCTCTTAACTTAAACTATACCTAACCGTTTTTTACATAGAAAGTTAACATTGTGAAACTTGATTTTGCAGTACTTGCAATGGGATAATGACTGAACTCCCGCATTGGGCAAGGGTTCAATGTACCCTGCTCATTCGCGAACGAGAAACGCATTGACTGCATTTTCATTTGCGAGTTGATTTTATGTTGTAGTTACATATGTTGCAATCAATTTATTTGGCTAATATTTATATTTGAACAATTTAACTTGCAGGTACTTACCTGCCTGTTGGTGATGGGGCTTTGATAGGATTTTCTGTCCTTTTCAATCGAGGAGCGTCCTTGACATCTTGGGTTGGTAAGTATTAAAACATCAAGTAATTACTTTTAAATTTTTAAAATCTCTTCAGGCGTATATGCCTAAAGGGATTTTAAACATAGGAATAACACTGCGCTCTAACTGGTATGGTTGATAATAAAAGATGGGAAGAAATTTTCCCATTCCTCGTGCCTGTTGATGTGATGTAACTGGTTAGCGATTAGAAAACTCGTAAACCGATTCCCAGTTTAGAGTCCCTTGATTTTTCGTTTCCCGGCTACATAAGTCTAACATGTCTCTTCTATGACGCTCGAAATAAAGTATTGGGGGGGACGCAGCAATTCGTCACTAGAGGGATCTGTTCGACAACATTATTAGCCTCTCTCCAATATCCCTTTGACAAAGGAAGGAAATGCAAGAATTTTTATATTTTCCCGTCTTGGCTCTGATAGTGTAAGTGCTGAGCTCATTCAATAGCAAATGAAAGATCGATTATTTGAATCACGGAGAGAAAGCAGGAAGTGCTCACGTTTGGGATTCCTAAAGACTTACTGAACATTATAACATGTATTTTCTTAATTTTTTTACTTCATTATAATTTTTACGGGGTCATGTATAAGGTTATTTTTATTCTGCTAACCGACTAATATTTATTAAGAAAGTATTATTTAAAAACTACGAATGATAACAAAATCACATTGCTTTCAGATAGTTTTAGAAAAGAAAAAGTTTCACGCGCGTCATTTCCAATTTGCCTTGGAGATTTTAATGACACATTGTACTAGATATAGTATATCAGAAGTTATAGCGTTAGACATGCTATTAGTATTACTGCGTCGGGTATAGCTACATAGAAAATAATTTCGAGAAATAACATTTACGCTGTAATAGAAACCACTTGATAATATTTCCAATGAATTTATCTTCATCTAATTCAGTTACGCTTTCAGAATGTTATTTTCAGTCAAGGAAAACGTTTCTGGTTCTTTGAGAAGAACATCAGTTCTGAATTAATATATATCTGTCAGTCATGTTGACGAGCTTACATGAAAATCCTTTTTCGATAGAACAACTACTGACAGTTCTATTCAATGAAAATACCTATTTTGAACAATGGCCAAGTGAGTTATTTGTTTAGATCAGCGATTCTGAACCTGTGGTACGCGTACCACTGGTGGTACGGATGAGAAAAATAGGTGGTGCGTAAAGAAACAAAGTACTTTTAACTATTAAATTCAAAAATATCGTGAAGTAAAAGATCAATTGATAGAAATTTCCCGTGATTGAACTCCAATTGAAGATTTCAAAATAAGACGCTTGTTAAACTTTGGCTGAACTGAAAGCGCAAACTATTTGTGTGAACAAAGATTTTCTTCCATGTTATATCTGAAAAAAAAAAGTATAAAACACAACTAAAATTGGATCCTAATTTATGCAGCTAAGTGAAACATGACCAAACATAAAGAAATTGATACTTCTTAAACTGACCCTAATTTCACAATAAATTTTAGAATTAAAGTAGAATAACTTAAATTTTGATAATTGAAATGGTAACCATTTTTTAATCTAATATTTTTTATGTGTGCATATTTAACACAAATAGCCAACAGGGTGTTCAAATGGCAAAATATATTTTTTTTAAATATTTCTATTGAGAAATTGAAAAATAATCATTGTAAAATGTGGTGGTGGTACCGAAGGTTTTCAATTTTTTTTAGATGATAAGCGTTAGTCAGGTTGAGAAACGCTGGTTCAGATGCTTTATATCATCGTTAAGATCTTGTAGGTTAAGGGGCGTTATACTTTTGAGATGTCAGTTCTCAATCCATTATTGTTTTCTGTAGTCGTCTTGCATATTGCTTGGTTGGTGGTTGATCTCCCTTATCAATTCTATGCTAGGCCAAATTTTTTCGACCTACGTGAGATGTGCGAGAGAAAACATCTTGATTTTTTTTTTTTTTTTGTTTTTGTTTTTGTTTTGCAGCTGTCCTCTCTTCATCGCTTAGTTGTGCATTTTGCAATAACTCTGATCTTATACTCCCCGAAGGTAGAGAGATTGCCGGACTATTGGTTCGTTTAATAATGCAGGTCAATGGATTACATGCTGCAAGCATGTTGGCTTTCCTAATGACTTTAGCTTTATCACTAACAGTAACTATCACAGAGAAGACAGTCCTTGATAAATCGACGAATGCCGAAGCTACTATTATAGTTCTTAGGTTTCTTGTTACAGTTCTTAGGCTATTCCATTATGGCGTAGCGGAAATTTTTATTTTCAGCTACGGATCCAGGAAATCAAAATTTTGCTCTTGCTGGTACTGGGATGTCTTGAGTTTTTATTTGGTGGACGGAATTAACTCCTTCCTTCTTAATTCCGACAGGTTTATGTCCTCCAAGGCAGAATGCAACTCGTTATTTTTAAAGTCGGAGGAAAAATTATATTTCCTTAGAAAATCTAACCCTGTATGAAAAGGTCGCTAATGTCTGCTGCATATTCCTTGTGATGGTAGACGGAACTCCCAAACGTGATATTAATTTCGACTTTATGACCGGACACAGTCTGGAGGGTGACACAGGGAAACATCCAGATGTGTTTGCCTTCCAGTTGTTGATCAGATCTTTTCGGATGATGATAACATAGGCTCTTGTATCGATAGTCACATTGCAAGGAACTCATGATGTCCATGTCCATTACTGCCGCTACTCATTGCAGAAATCGGAAGCGCTTTAAAAGGGGGTCTCAATATTTGGCAAACTCGCGAGATGGTCACTACTTCATCTTCTACCTCTCTGTTGTGAAGCGGTATAAGCTTCCGTGCCTTGGTCCTGCAGTTCCCTAGGGTCAGTTTCTTATCACTCATATTCCGCCGCAAGGCACTTACTAGCCTGGTTAAATGGTCTAGACGAGCAGTTAGTTTTTCCACTGGTTTCTGAACATGAACAGCTGTGACAGTATAGCGGTCTCTAAGGATCTCTTGTTGGGCTACCTTGAATTTTATGGCATACACGAAAGCGCTTTATAAATCCTTGACATCCACCATTCGCAGGGCTTTCTGTATCTCAGGATTCCCGGATGTTATCGACGATGAAGTACTGCAGGGACACTATCTTCCTTGTTTTTGCGCCGCTGTCCAAAAACGCGAGATGAGATGACCTTTCAGCATCCGTGGCGAGAGCCTGGAGTATTTCCGTGGGTTCCTGTTTTAACTGAAGCTTGCTTTAATCTTTTAAACATTTTTCGTCAAATCGTAGTTCCAGCACTTCGGACAAAGCTTCGAAGCCTGCCTCTGGCTCTCGGGCAGAGTTTGAAGGATATCACTGCATCCTCTTTCAGAGTAGCGGCTAGATGGCAGGACTAACTTCGAAATCTAATCCATTTACGTGCACCATTGTAGAGAAAGGATTCTTGTACTCTTGCCAGATCTTTCCATCCTACAGGGATAGCTCTTGAGAGGGTCGAGAAGACATAGGTAGGCATTTAAATCTGTCTGAATTGTTTCTAGCTAACGCTATGGATTTCTTCAAGCTGTCAACTTCCTTAGGAACAGCAGAAACTCTGTCATCAATTTGCTGTTTGATATAAGATACTCTATATCCGATAGGTTGATTGACAGAAATAACTTTCATCAATTTGTTTTTCTGCAGCAGAAACTCTTTCTTCAGTTTCTCAAACTCAGTTTTCAACTGTTTTTTTCTGCCTTTCATAGTCTGGAATTTGTTTTTTATTTAGTTCCCACCATTTAAATTTAACTTTTTTGTTAGTTATTTGTATATCAAGGGGGTGGCAAATATAGGAACCGCCCCACGCGACAAACTCAGGAATGTCTCGGGTCACTACAGCTGTAGCTACGCCACTGATTTTGTTCAGTACTATCAGCTTTCTTTTAGTAATACGTTTCGGCACTGCACGTCTAGACGACGCAGTCCTGATTTACAGTCAAAGACGCTATTTGTGTGTTTCCGGTAGTTACCAGTACTGCATGATAATATCTGAGCAATTTTCCCAAGGCTTGTTTTCGATTTAAAGTTGGTTATAGATAGTCTATTGAAACACTATTGTTGGGCAGAAATAACTCCCAACTACCCTTCATGGTGATTTACCCTTACGTTCAAAACAAAAATTACTTCATTTGGTAAAAGAATCATATATAAGATTTCATAATTTTCTACTACTAAAAAATAAACGAGCAATAAATAAATGCATACAAAAAGGATTACTTACCCCTCTCTCCCTTCTTTATTATCCAAAATTAACGGGTAAAGTGCAGAATCGCCCACTTATTTGTTTGGCGGTTTTTACAAGAGTAAGAAGGATTGGATTTTTGTCAATTTTCTTTGACTTTTTAAGTGAAAATAGGTTGATGTGTACATGGATAATGTCAAGGGAGTGCGCAATGTCATTTTTGTGCAATTCCGGGATGTTTTTTTAAGTGAAAATAGGTCGATGTGTACATGGATACCGAGTATGTGCAATTCTTAAAAACGCGCGAAGCAGAGGGCGATTCTGTACTTTTCCCTGAACTATACATGACAAAGTGACGAAGATCGCCTTTCATCTTTCATATTAAATTGTAATAAATGTAATATCTATATTCCGCGACACGAATCTGTCCGTCTCTTTACAATAAATATGAACTTTTCTACTTCTGGACACCTAGCACCATCTCTTGAGAAAAGTTGAGTCAAACATTTAAATATAACAAATATTAACAACGTCATCTCTTCGATTCACGCTTCGCATGGTTCATCTAGAATAGCAACGCAATTCTTACAGGCAAAGTTTTTTCAATACTTGTGTGGGTGAATGGAAGATTCTCAGTTTATTTTTCAGAAAACGATAGTTACTAATTAGCATGGTATACCTTTCCCCGTACTCCCTTGACTTCAAGGGCTATGCATTTTTTAATGTATATATCTGGTTAAGACATGATTATTTACACATTAATTCTCATTGTCATCGGAGCTTCTTGTGCGCGGATTTTACGGGATTATTGGATATTGTATATCTTTCGTGGATGACCCTCGGTGTTAATAATTTTGGAAAATTTAGAGAAGCTCTTTTTTATACTGTATGATCTTCTGAAATTTACGAAATTAGTTATAAACTCTCAGAGCTCAAAGAAAAAGCTCAAAATTGATCAGGCAGTATAACTTTTATCACTAATTATTGAGTTAGATTTATTACAGACTCGATTTCCTAAACAAATCAATTAATGTGCGTTTAATAAAAATAAAAATGTAAATAAATTTCTCCGTGTCTCATTTTCTCATTACTTTCGTGATTCAAGTAATACATTCTTCTTGCTGAAATTATTCGCTGGCAGATCATTTCCAATATCTAGCTAATGAAGTTACTTCATAACGCTATTTAAAATTTTAGCATTTTACCTCTGCAGATAGAGAAGGCATTACTCTTGTGTCGATATGTTACAGTGGCTTAATACCAAAGAATATGGAATCAGAGTCTTTGTTATTAGTTAAGAGTTTTTGGGGTTTGCTTGGACATAGATTCTTACTATGAACGTACATTATTTTCTCTGTTTAGGTCAGTGCATCGTCTGCGACGGGGAAGAGAAACTCTTCACAACTTGGGTTCTGAGACGTCACGCGGAAACACCGCAAAAATGGATGGTTACTAATGTTGATCAGAATACTTTCCTGCGGTTAGGTAAAGATGCCGATTCTTCACATTATTCCCATAATAGGGTTAGTATAACTGTTTTTAGATAAATTTTGCAAAATATTATTAATTTCAGACGATAACTTTTAGAAAAATCAGTACTTTCTTTAAGTAACAGATTATCAAATGATGAAACATAGTTGCAACAAATAAACATATACAACAAATAAAAATAAATATGTAATAGAATATAAAATAGAATGTATTTGATTTCATTTCATGTAATTGAGTAAAGCACCTTTTATTGATACTGTAACACATAAATTCCCTGTAGTAATTCCAAATTAAATTATTATCTTGTCAGTTCTGTAAGATTTATCTTTCATTAAATTAAATTTACCTAATTTGAATGCTAAACGTAGATCCGAGACAGCCTAAATCAGTTATTTTCATTGTTTCAGCCTTTGTTCAGCATTAAGGTTATTAAGCATTAACGCTATTAAAGTCGGTGTATCATCTGCAACAAAAGTGCGTATGGGTTCGTAATGCATTTTATTTTTATCAGATGGAACCGATGATATCTTGATGAAATTTGTGTCCTCAAAAGACTACAATTCTGGAACTTCTCCAAAAGTACTGGGATAGCTCTTCTTAGTATGACAGAGAACAATTAATAGATACGACTTTAAACTACAAAGAACGTTAAAACACAAGACAATATAAAAATCCTCAAAATATAATCTCGCACAATGATCTCTCAATATTCCGACTAAACTCTGAACTCATGCTCTCTCGAGATTTATTAAAATTCCCCCCCCCGTCTCGAGGGTACATAAGACAGGATACAGTTATAATTATACAGGAATCGGACCAAAATGTCGCCAAACGGTCGCCAAGATTGGCGACTTTTGGATATTTAATTTTGGCGACGATAATTAGCCGCCAAAAACCATCGACACCTTGGCACCATTTACTTCAATGTTAATTGGACTTATCCGCTGTGTTTCGGCCACCAGAGTCGTCTGCCTGTCGTCTGTGATATGTTATTTCGCAATGCGCAGATCGTATGCGCAGCTTGCACTTTGTTTTTGCAGCCTTGCAAACACTAATTGTAACTTTCACACTTTACTCTTTGCTGTGTTGTGGTTTAAAGTGGAAATCGCTAAAATAAAAGTTAAACTACAGTCCGCTCGCATTGATGTATTCTTATGTTTATTAATTTAAATTTAAGATACCGCTACGCTACACGTTGTAATCCTATTTTTTTCCGGCAAACCCTAGCAATTTTGAAGTCTCATGTTACATTATACAGATACTATGGTTTACATATAATTTCATTAAAATTATTTATATATATACAAAATTGGTAACAATATAATTAAACATAATAAAAACCGGTAAATTCAATATGTGCCCACAAATGAAAGATTACTCAAAATATGCGTTACATAAACATAAAATAGCTATAAAAATGCATTAAATAAATAAAAAATGCGATATACAAGCAAATAAAAATATTTACATAAATTACGATGATAAATATGACATGCAGAGCTAAGGAAAAAATTGTAAAATATGTAAATTACATAAAAATTATAAAATATGTAAGGAAAAAATTAGAAATTTATAATGTGAGAAATATAAATATGAAGCTGGCGTATAGAGAAAGAAGCATCGGATAGAATGGAAGTTATTGACATATGATAGTGATGAAGGATATGCATGATAGTAAAAGCAGAGTAGCTGGCCAATTGCAGAAAGATGTGTAGTTCGCAATCCTGTCACTTAAAAACCACTTGAAACACAGCAAAATACCTCACTTTTCGCCTCAATACGTAGGCAGTTTCAGCACGAGTAGACAAATACGAGTAAGCTACTCATCACCTATTTCACTTCATAACTCTTGTTTATACTAGCTGCCTTCATTTCACATTGGTGAGGCGTCGACTGTATGCAACATATAACGCCACTGTTTGATGTTTGCAATGCCTATTGCAGGGTTTGCTGTTATGTGTGATCGTACGAAATTTGGATTTTTAACATATCGTCAGCGCGCACTTAAGCTATTTACACAATGTTTCGAAGTTGTAGATAATTTTCATGTTTGGGCGCAAATTTTTGCAGACAATTGTTCTATATTAAGTATAAAACAATATAACATAAGATATTACAATGGGGACTACCAAAAATATCATCACTGTGCAATTGAAAATTCATGTTATTACCTATATTGTAGTAGGTAAATGTGTGGATATGTGCATACATAAGAAAACATTTTTTCGACCAATACTGTATCAATCACAAGATATAGCAATACGTGTAATTATCATAGTGGAACATAAACAATAAAACAATTCTTAAATTACAGATAAGTGTTGCGTTGTGTCCATTAAAAAAAACCCATTCTATGACTAATGTTCAGTGTAAAATTAAGTACAATACCAGGTAAGTAAAATCAAACTAACGTTTATTTATAGTGATACGATTAAGAATACAAGTTACATTTTAAATTGGTGGTGACTGCTCATCTAAATTTCTGAAGAAACAACGGAAAAAGTTAACATACCTTCTTTCACATATATAACATTTCACTTCCCGGATGGACTCCATCATACAAATTTTTGGATTACTTGATACAGGTGAAAACAATGACAGGATACATTACTGTCTCAGGGAATAATTACTATACGTCGGGAATATAAGTGATAAAATTAATCAAAGGCTATTGTTTCGGAAGCCAGGCTTTCCTCTGTTTGCAGTTTCCAACCGGGAGGACACAGGTCTTTCCACCGCATGCCATTATTGAATCAGAAATTCAGCAAGAATTATAGATGCAGACGCCTTTCTTCGGTGCAGGTTATTTAAATGTTCTTCTCCTCCTCGTTTCCGAAGCGGCTGCCCTCCAAGCTGTACAGTAAAGTTGACATCTTTTGTTGTACATCGAACGTCTCATGAAATTTCTTTTTTCCGTCTCTCTCTCGTCATCCACTGCGCAGCCACTTTTGTAACTGGCGCGCTTTAGAAAAAATTGGCGAAGTGTGATGATCGGAAGGAGGCCAAGCACAGCAACCCAAGCAGAGAAATCTTCACGGGAAGGGAGTTTCCCGACTATCAGAAGAAGCTAACTATCGCGGTTTCAACCATTCGGCCTCCAAAGCAACTCCACTGGGTCAACATACTCTCTGTTGATGGAAAAAAAGGGGGGAACTAGCCTCGTCTCGAGGCGCAACTCCAACATTGCGAGTTTCCTATCTAACAACTTTTCACTCTCATAAATAAACTCTCCGTAGAACCTTTCCTTGCTAGAGATGTCACAGCAACCGGGATCCCGTTTATGCAAAATACTGCACGTGGCGCCGTCATTCAGAGCATGTGGTGAAGACATCCATCATGTGTTCAAACGCTTGGGCGAAAGAATTTCGGGGTGCAGTAATCCCCAGATAAGGAATTCTGAGAATGAATTCCAAGCCGACGGTTTGGATGAGAAAATTTTTCAGAACCAGTGAATAGTTATTCAACACAACGAATTTAGGACATTAAAAATTAAACTATTACATAACAATTAAATTCATTAAAAATGTCAGCACAATATAAATTGTTTCTTCAGCAGAAATTAAGTACACACATTCATTATCCAGATTGAGTTTCAATTACTTTTGATTTACCTTACCAGTTAGAAAATATGTATTCGATAACTTTAATAGAAAGAAGGGTAAAAATTAAGTTACCTTAAGTTAAATTTAAAAAAAAAATACACCAAAAGTGCACCAACAAAAACTTTAAAATAATTAAAGTCAAAAACAAAAGTACAAAAACCAAGTAAACTTAAGTCCCTAAACTCAAATTAAAATTAAACAACTTCAACTTAAGAAAAACTTTTAAAGCAACCAGACCTAAATTTAAAGTTTACAAAAGTTACAGTTTAAACTTACAACCAACAACTAAAGCAAAAATTAATAACTTCAATTATTAATCAAAACTGAATTAAGTAAGCAAAACTTAAAGCTTGAAAATAATAACAATTAATACATAACAAATCTGTACAAAAAGGCGTCAAAACGTATTTACTTAGTTACGCTAATATAATGAGTGTTGCGAAAATTTACTAACATTGAAATGTGTCGTACATTATTAAGAAATGCATGTTATTTTTTAAATGTTAGCTGATGCAAACGAAACGTTAACGAAAAGCTGATGCAAAAAATGAACAATATGTAGAGGAAATTGGGGAAATTTAAGTAATTTTTCTGTTAACAAATAAAAGGCAACTAGCAGTGTAGAGCCCAATGAATCTGAAGTTACATATAAAAATCGGAACAACTCATGTATAATACAATAATGTTTACCTTTACTTTTAATTTATTCTCGTAAAGATGATCACATGAGAACACTTCTGAAATTCTTGAAATCATAACACTTTGCACTTGAAGAACGAAACTCAACTATCGGTTTTACACTGCATGTTCCATTACCTAGAAAAACTTGATAATTCGTGATAAAAAGTCGATCAAACACCAGAATGAAGACACAGCTTCACGATAACGTTGATTTTATTTTACACACACAAATTATATTTTTTATTTGTGTGTTATAAGTTTGTGTTTTATTTTATTTATTACTTTTTTTTTATTTTTATCTATTATATAAGTAAATTTACACAGTAGGACTTCGGCCGCACGCACTTCCACACCTCTCCTTTCTCAACTGCCGATTTTGGCGAAGTTCTTTTACTGCGTTTCTGCGCCGAAGTCCACATTTGGCGAAATTCGCATACTTGGCGGTTCTAACAGCTTTTTCAATCCTCTAAAGCAGTGTTTCTCAACCTTTTAGTATTCACGGCCCAATTTTCAATCATAATTTTCATCGCGTCCCCCCTTCCCCACCGCATACAATAAATGTATACAATAATAATGTATTTTGAGTATTTTGGGGCTAAACCTACACTACAACTTTAATTTTAAACTTTACAAATTACCAAGAATACGGAAATTTATTGACATTTTGTAACACCGATCCTCAGCATTGAAAAAACAAGAATCCTATGCCTTTTTATTGCTCTTGCGTCCCGCCATGTCGGGCATTCTCACGGTTTCGCGAGAAGTTTCGATTTGTCTGGTCAGCTTAAAAGTTAAGTTTGGAGCGTGCGCAGATGTGAATAAATGTTTTCTCATAGGGAGAAGGAGAAAGTTCTATGACGCCAAATTCAATTCCAGGCAATCTCGTTCGAGTCGATCCTTCTATCGCTATTGAATCTATTCTGAATGAGTATGTATATATTTTCGTGTAATTGCAATTCACCGTATTAAATATTCGTAGCTGCAGACTTATGCAGAATCATGGATAAATTTTTAAGCGGGCTAAGCGAGCATTAGACGATAGACAAGCATCAACAAGTACACAGACGAGCGTGGTTCCGAAAATAAAATCAAGAGAATATTCTCAAGAATACTTAAATTTTGGGTTCACTAGTACTGAAGTAAATGAAGAAGAAAGGCCCCTGTGTATCATTTGCTCAAAAATGTTGGCGGCAGACAGTATGAAACCTAATAAACTTAAACGACATTTGGAAACGCTTCATAGTGAGTACGTAAAAAAAAAAAAAACCCAGAGAATTCTTCGAATTAAAAATTAAAATCATTTGAAAAGCAAAAATCATTGTTTAAAAAACTTTGTCTGTGAATGAAAAGCTTTAATTGCCTCTTACAAAGTTTCATATAAAATAGCCAGATGTAAAAGCCTCACACCACTGGTGAAGAGCTTATTTTGCCAGCCGCAATTGAGATTGTAGAAATTATGTTTTGGAGATAATTTTTGCAAAACAATTGCAGTCTATACCTCTTTCAAATGATACTGTGGCCCGTCGAATTGCTGATATAGCTGAAGATGTAGAGTGTCAGCTTTTATCGAAGTTACTTGACAAATTGTTTTCAATACAACTCGATGAGGCAACAGATAGTAATAAAGATGCTCATTTCATTGCCTATGTTAGATTTTGTGATGATTTGTCAGTAGTAGAAGAATTACTTTTCTGCAAACCAATAGAACTCAAAGCAACAGCACTCGCATTATTTGCTATCTTATATGATTTTATGAACGAGGCAAACATAGAATGGAAAAATTGCGTCGGAATATGCACCGATGGTGCTCGTTCTATGTCCTGAAGATTCCAAAGTATTCAAGCACTTGTGAAACAAAAATCGCCACAGTGCGTCTGGACACATTGCATGATCCACAGAGAAGCTTTGGCTTCCAGAGAAATGAGTCCTGGTTTGAATAAGCTAATTTTGGCATTCTGAAAGTAGTTTTTCTTCTTTATTTTCTTCTTCATGAGTTTTAATTTTGCCAATACTTCTCCAATATCTTTTGGTCCGTGAAAATTTATTTTCCATTACTGTATTCCCATCTCAGCCTCAAGAGCAATATAAGTAAGTCATCATTTCTACTGTTAACACCAACACTATTAACACTTATTTTAACAATCAAAGAGATTCAGAGGCATTCATTGGTTTTACACCAGCAGATCATTTCTTCCTTTTGAGGTCCCGTAAACAAGTTGGTATAGAACATAAACTAAATGACTTAAATGTGTTGTCATATTTAAGTTACAATGTTTACTGAAAAACACTGTGGTTTTCTTAAGAAGCCCTAGAAAACAAGGGGCATAAAAAACTGAGCAAAGGCATTACTTTCATTCGCAATAATTACAGCGTCAAAGAAGGCACTTACAGTGTAAGCTTTATTTGAAAAATTTGGAGGACTTCCTAATGAAGAACAGGAGCGAACAGTAGTTCTACGACCGCTTCCTCACCAAGAGAAAAGAGTTTTGTCTTCAGGGAATCAAAATTTAGCTCTATAATCAGACGATTCTCTACAGAGGCTAGCCACTTGTGTTGAAAAATTATGAGGTATTTCACTCATGTACTATTATTGTAGAGAGTCTCTCAATGCAATAAGTTTTATGTTAAAATAATCAAATGTGATTGAATATCCCTTAAATTTAAGAATTTTTGTATTGAGTTTTATCTTTATGTAATTTTTAATTTAATGTCCCGATCTTTCTTTTTTTCCCCCTTTCTAGATTTCTTCGAGACGGCCAGAATCCACTAGAGCTGACATCGAAAGTAAAGGTCAGTTTTAGATCTTCTGCTAAAACATTGGATTACTTTCAATATTAGACGCCGTTATAATCTTGCCTTTTTTTTCTCATTTTCTATTTTTTTAATCGTCCCTTTACATTTGCTACTGCACCATTGATAATCCACCCCGTCTAGTAACTGCGAATGCAAAGTGGTGTTGCAAGCCCCTGACAAAATAGAGTAACTTCTTTTCAAAACACGATAGCAAGATAAAACTGACTTTGAAAATCACAGTACTAAATTCTGTATCCCTGCAATAAAGCAGACAGTGACTTGAGGAAAATTTACAAATTTAATAACTTTTAATAGATTTTATATCTTAATAATGTATGTAATTAATAAACTTTATAATACATCTATTTGATAGTTTTTAAAAATGTTTGTATCATTGGTGTAATTAATAAAAGATCGTTTTTTAATGCCATATGTTCTGTACCGGGTTTACAGAACGAGCATCTTACAGAATGAGTGTCATTTGAGAACCACCTAACACGAATTTGCTGCACATTAGACTTGATAATTTTTAATTGTTATATATAATTAGAACTTACTACAAAATTAAATATATAATACGGCTAAATTAGTAGAAGATGGCAATGAGGCAATTGCAAACTATGCAAGTACGAATTTGTTAATTTAATAAATATATTATAAAATGAATTAAATTTGTGAATTTAATAAATATCACGTGTTAAAAAACAGTAGATAATTGCTTTCGGAATGAAAAAAAAATAAGACTTTTAAGTTTCCAAAAAAAAATAAAATACAATTAACATTCACAAATGGAAAAACTCTTTAGGCTTATTTATTCCTTTAAAACTGTAGACTTGTGTTGACACAGCATACGACCAAGGAAATGATTAACAGCTATTTAAAGAATGCTTTTAGAATTGCTACACACATTGAATGTATAAAGGAAGAGTAAGTATTATTACGATGTATAAGTCTTTTTTCATTTGTCGTCCTCTGTGTTCGCCTTCCATCGTTTCTTGTCTTCTCACATCAGTTTTCGATTCGTCGTGGCATCAGTTTATCATCGGAGATGTCATCCGACGGTAACAAAGATAAGCATTGATTTCTAATTGTGATTCTAGTTAGAAAGAACTTGATTGTTTCTTTCCTTCTTATATTTCTGGCTATCATCGGCCGTACGATAAGATCGCTGAACACTGGTTATTCGAGACGGGCGGATAGGTTGACTGCATGGAAATTTTCATGGCTTTCCCGATGTGTAACTTAAATACAAGGCAGTGTTTATAAAGTATCCTGCAAAAGGTGTCTGTCTTCTTAAGCGGATATCTGTCAAATGCTTTGCCATAATCCAAATAACCTAATTTTCTTATATTTGCACTTAATTGCTTTTATCCGTACATCAAACCAACATAAATGAAATATTTAAGTGAAGAACGTAGATTTCGTATAATTATATGAATCCATTATAATTCAATAACCTCGGAATTTAATGAAAACTGAATTTCACTTTCTGTTATTAGAAACACTTGTTTATTGTATTTGGAAATCTAACGAAATCTCAAGAAATTACCCAACAGTTTAATTGTATAGACTAACATTACTACTGTTCTAGTAGCCTATATTTCAATTATGTAATGCAAGTATGGCAATTTATGTTATTTTGCTTTATTATGACAGAATTTCGATAGTCGAAATTTTGCTAAATCGAAATAAAATGCGTTCTGCAGACAAAATAATTTGAAAATCCTTATTAATTTTAATAGGAATTTTGAGGAAAATATAATGGATTAGAATAATTAATGGAAAAACGGAATTTCAATTTTTCAAATATTTTGGTGTGACGAACTGAAATGTATTCCATAGTTAAAATATTTTAGAAATGAATGCTAATTTTTCTTACGAATTAATATACTTAGCTCCAAATATTCGATAAGTCGTCACTGATATTATCTTTTTTTGTAGACTTTTATTTAATGCTAAACTTATATCTCGTTTTACTGAAATGGAAAGTAAGAAATATCCGCATAAAACATCGTATCCTAACCCTCCTTTGTAGAGTGCTTGGTGCCGAATAATCAGCATGCTAACGGATTTCTGTATCATTAAATTTAGCTTCATGACAGAAGCATTTGCACTTTTTGAATATTTAACTATAATGTCAAAAGAAAATCTAGAATTAATTCTATATTCTAGTATACTTTTTATTGGATTAAGTTATTTAGATTACGGCAAAGGATTCGAGATCTACCAAGAGGATGGATGCCGTCTTAGGGAAATTGCCTTATATTAACATTCCATATTGGAAAATTCCCCAATAGCCAGCCGAACTTTGAACTGGTATTGAACTATGGTGTGTGTTGGTGTTGGTGTATTTAATTATGGCAAAGCACACTAGGGCTATCTGCCTAAGGGGAGGAATGACTTCGTGGAGGACTTTCTAAGGGAAACCGGCTCGTATACACGTTACACATGGGGAAAACCACGAAAACACCCATGCAGCCAGCCCGTTCGCGGGATTCGAACCTCGGACCGAACTACCAGTGTTTAGCGACTTTACCGCTCGGCCGCTGGTGGGCGGTATTGAACTATGAGTGAAGTGTTTAGTGATTTTATCGCTCGGCTACGGTGGGCCAACATTTATTTGGATTAAAAACGATTCTGCGTATAATCCGTAGATATTTTACACTTTTATTCTACACTGGTGAAATAAATTAAGAGAATTTTCATATTTGATCTACGATTTCCAGAACTACTGGACAGATTTTAATAAAATTTCGTGTGAACAAAGGCTGATATAATAGAAGCAAAATAAACACTCAACTGTTATAATAGACGCATATGTTCGTGTGTAACATTCATGGGAGTGTGGAGGTCCGAAACAGCGGTTGCAGAAGACACAAAAGAAATGGGTTAATAGGGGGTATGGTTCCCTCTTACAGCCATACAGGCCTCGCAGCGTGATGTCATACTGGAAATAGGGCAGTTTATCAGTGCCTGTGGCAATTGGTCCCACTCATTCAGCAACGCTGTCTTCAGTTCCTGGATGGTTCTCGGAGGGGGATTGCGAGTTGAAATTGCCTTTCCCAGAGCATCCCAGACATGCTCTATAGAGTTTTGGTCTAGAGACCCGGACGGCCATGTAAGATGAATTCGACCTCCACTGTATCTCGGCAAAGGCGAACATAGGGCTCCAAGAACTCATCCCTATACCTCACGCCAGTCACAGAACCTCTATCAAAGACGTAGAGAGTCGTGCGGCCATCCAACATGATGCCTTCCCAGACCATTACATCACAACCGCCGTAATTGTTGATTTGACGGACATTGGAGTGTAGGTAGCGGGTCCCTGGCTCTCTCCATATGAAAGTACGGCGAGAATCGGTGTTTAGGCTAAAACGTGACTCGTCGGTGAACAGAACGGTCGCCCATTGCTCCGTACTCCAATCATTATGCTGCCTGCACCATGCTAATTCAATTCTCCTGTCCGTAGACGTGAGCGGGACGCAAACAGCCGGTCTTCTGGCAAAAAAATCATCTCTCATTCAGTCTTTTGGAAACAATCACCCTTGTTATACGGGTTACTGTGGCTGCATACACGTCCCAAGAGAGCTGAGAAGCTGTAGGCCCTCTATTACGCTTCGCTAAAATGGACAAAATAGCGATCTTTTCTGGCCATCGTGGTTCTTGGACGATCTTATCCAGACTTTCTCTTGATGGATTCAGTATCTTGGAACTGTTTCCATAGGTTACAAACGATGCTGGGCGTTAAATTAAACTCTCTACATATCTGGACTTGTGATTGCCTGCCTCTGCACAATTCGCCAGCTTATTCCATTATCTAAATGTTGGTGGTTACACATTTTTAATATTCCGATCTGAATTCGTCTTACCCTCCACGCGCTTATAAAGCCTGTTTTTCTGCTGCCTCCGCCTACACTCACGTGTACGCTTACGTATTGGCCGTACAAGATATGCATTTTTATCTAGGAGCAGTCGTTTTTCCTTCAGTTCAGTTCTTTTCATGCAATTCGATAAAATATGCAAATTCTCTTAATTTATTTCACCAGTGTATATCTTCTGAGACATTTAATATATATTTTCTAAAGAAACCGTCCGTTAATTTGTTTGATAAGAGTAAAATTTCATTGTTTGAATTTGGCTAAAGACTACAGCCCAATTTTTCAATTTTTCAATTTGGCGTCGCGCCGCATTGCGCTACAAGCGTCTTAATCATATACACTCTTAGGGGAAAAAAAAAGACGCACTACGACGCACCGAGAAGATATAAAGTAAATTGAAATGCATACAGATTTCGACGGAAAATGCAAAATTTTACATTTTGACTGCCAATGAATGAACGGTTGTCACTACAGCGCATCTGATTTGCGCAACTGGCGGGATATTTAAGAGAAGAAATTACGATTCCAGGACATAAATTCTTCACGAATTTCATTCCGTGTACTCTGGTAGACAGTAACTATGCCTCGCATACAGGTGCGCGAACGATATACGCAGATCTCAGAATTGTAGTTGGGCTCAAAGAAGCCGGTTGGTCTTATCGGCGAATAGCTCGACATTTGAGCAGGAGCGATGCCACTATTAGTAGACGATGTTGACAAGAATGGGTGAACCATGGCCGCACACAGCGTCAAGAAGGTAGGCCTAGAGAAACGACAAATCGTGAAGACCGAGCAATCATCAAAGTGGCACTCACAGCCCCAGATGCATCATTATCATCGATTGTACGTGCAACTAGTGCTTCAGTGACCGCAAGGACCGTTCATAGACGGCTTACAGAAAGGGGGCTGAGGTTACAGCGCCCGTTGCATCGACTACAATTGACCTCTGTACAACATTAAGCCCGTTTGCAGTGGTGTCGGGCCCATTCGCAATGGAATGTCACTGACTGGAGTAAAATAGTCTTCAGTAATGAATCCCGCTTTTAACTGAGCCCCGGTGACCAGCGAAGGCGAGTCTGAAGACGGCCCGGACAGCGGTGTGATACCAACCTGACTGTCTTCCGGCAGACAGCCGAAGTAAAAATCCTTTCCTTATTTCAATATAATGGATATTGAACCTTGTAGGAAGAACAAAGCTAAATTTTCAGA